GACTCCTGATTGTGAGGTGATAGCTCCACCTCTAGGCCACTGCATCAGGGTTGAGTGATGCAGTGGCCTAGAGGTGGAGCTATCACCTCACAATCAGGAGTCTGTGGGTTCGATCCTAGGTAGTGGCAAATATTCTCCTTTATTGCTCCATCAATTATCCCAACTCTTTCTTTCTCAATCCAGATAACGGTAACCAAGCCTGCAACGACGCCAACCAAACTCAACACTAACAACAAAAGCATTCATTCTGGAGACAAGATAGACCTTTCTGCTGTCTGACATCTACCCCTGTCAGCCCTTCCTTCTGATACCCAGGCAAACCACATCCTCGGGATCTTCCATTCATTGCCTGACTACCTATTACTCTTTGAGAATTTGTTCCTGCAGGAAGCACTTCTTTACTTCCTTCCTGCTAAATTGAGGAGGGGCAGAATTGCCCATTGGACTGAATCCATACTTCCAGTTTTCCTGGGCCTCCTTTGGACTGGGAGGATTGGCTATGGACATTTTACACTGGATGGTCATCTAAGCACTGGCAGGGATGAAGCTGAGGAAGATTTGTGAGGCAGCCCCAAAGGTGCCTTTTTTTTTTCAAGAGGCAATTGGATTTTCCTTTGAAGGCATTTTGCTTCTCATCCAAGAAGCTTCTTCAGCTCTGACTGGATGGTGCACTCAGATGATGGTGGCTCACCCCAAAGATAAAACACCCAGACGCAACTGAGCAACAGGGTATATGCAGTATAACGCAGAGACCCATGAGCAGATATGTATATTGGGGAAACAAAACCACCACTTCATAAACACATGGCACAACATAGGAGAACAAACCCATCAGGATAAGATTCAGCCATCCATCTGCCTTTAAAAGACAAGTCCACATTTTGGACAGGAAGACCACTGGGGTCAAAGAGGCCATTTACGTCAAAATTGAACAGCCCCCTCTCAACAGAGAGGGAAAGATACGACATCATCTATCTCCAGTCTAGAGCACAGTCCTTTCAACCGTTTCTAGAAGACTCCACACCCATTTGCACCACTCAGGTGACCCCGAGGACGCAGACAAACCTCCAGGTGGCCTCAATGACCCTCCAAAAGGATGCAAATGACCAGCTGTCTGCAAGGAGTATACATCCTTCCCTTCTCCACCATCCAGACAGAGCTGAAGAAGCTTCTTGGATAAGAAGCGAAGCATCTTCAAAGAAAAACTAGAAAGTCCAGTTGCGTCTTGAGTGAAGCACCTTTGGGACAACCATGACCTAGATGACTGACAATCTACCTGGACTTTTGTGGGGAAGAAAACTTCAGTAGGATCTCCTGATCTGCAAAGCTAAATTTTCTCATGACACTAACATTGAAGAGCTCTTGACCAACTCTACATAGACCTATGCATGATTAGATAGTTGAAGAATACAATGGAGAAGCTACACCAGGAAATACCCAACTTCAAATCCTTCATTTGAAGGAAACCTTGCAGAAGCAAAGGCAATGGAACCAAGCTCTGTTTTCTGATCTTGGCCTGGAGACCAGCAGAAATAGCAGATGTTACATTTGAGCCTCAGGTACATCTGCTTAGTTGTTCTCCAGATCATCCTAATACTGGTTGTGATGGACACCTGCAGCTTCATATCATTGGAAGTAGCTACTATCCTCACCTGGGGAAAACACCTGTACAGAACCCTCCCATCTTCCCAGATGTGGCTCCATGTCTCTGCTGAGTCCTGTTTGCAGACCGAACGGAATTCTCCCTTGTGGAAAATCACAATTGCTTCCCTGTCCATCTCGACAGTCAGAACGAAACTTGAATGCCAAACAGTCACATTCCTCCCCGCAAAGCAAAAACGAAATAAAAAGAAACAACCAACCCACCTCCGTAGAAATGAACAAGGCAGAAAAAAATGACTCTGGGCAATTCCAGGCTGCAGCTGGAATTGTGTGATTATCCATGAATGTCATTTTAATTTTTTTTCCCTTCCTTTCTCCTGATGAGCAAACGGTTGAGTTTTTCCAACCACGCAGTAATGCTGTAGCTTCTGAAAAGAAAAGCAACATTTGATTAATTCAGCCGAGGTCTCTCCACCTCCCTTTATGGATTTTCTAGTACAGTTCCCTCACTGATCAAGTTCGAGGAAATTCTTAAATGTAGTGTATCTTGACAGTCTTAAGCAGTAGAAGTTTGCTTTTTTTAAAAAGGTGGAAGCAAACAGGACAAGAGAGAAAGAGAGAGAGAGAATGAGACACACAGAAAGAATGAGACAGAGAGAGAGAGAGAGAATGAGAGGGAGAGTGAATGAGATAGAATGAGAGAGAGAATGAGACAAAGAGAGAGAATGAGAGAGAGAGTGAGATAGAATGAGAGAGAGAAAATGAGAGAGAATGAGAGAGAGAGAGAGAGAGAGAGAAAGAGAGAGAGAGAGAGAGAGAGAGAGAGAGAGAGTCATTGCTGTGTAGAAGATCACAGGCTTTTCATGCTAATTCAAATCTAAGCCCGTCCAGATGAAGCTAGAAAGATCTTGTCTGGTGGCCTGAAGATGCATTATTAAGTCATTGTAGAAAATGACCCAACTTGGTTGTCTATCTAATTTGTCCTAGGATAGTTGGTCTTTGTTATCCTGACCATGAAAGATAGGAGGGAGGGAGAGGGAGAGGGAGAGGGAGAGGGAGAGAGAGAGAGAGAGAGAGAGAGAGAGAGAGAACCAAATCAGAAAGTCTCCCCTTCATTTTACAGGATGGGGGTCTCCATCGCATATAACTTTGTAGCCCCATTACTTTCTTTCCTCCTTTGACATCTTGATTCGATGGAATGGTAGTCTCTCTTTCAAGTAACTTCATGGCCCCATAACTTCCTGTCCTTCTTGACTTTGATTTGATGGAATGGTAGTTTCCACTTCAAGTAACTTCATAATCCCAAAACTTCCTTGTCCTTCTTGACTTCTTGATTCGATGGAATGGTAGTCTCCATCTCAAGTAATTTCATAGCCCTATAATTTCCTGTCCTCTTTTGACTTCTTGATTTGATGGAATAGTGGTCTCCATTTCAAGTAACTTCAAAACCCCATAACTTTCTTCTTCCTTTGACTTCTTGATTTGATGAAATGGTAGTCTCCATCTCAAGACCCATAACTTCCTGTCCTCCTTTGATTTCTTGATTTGATGGAGTGGTAGTCTCCATCTCGTATAGCTTCATAGCTCCATAACTTTCGGTCCTGTGATTTCTTGATCTTCACAGAATGCAGAAGTTATCCTTTGATGTGGTGCCATCTTCAAGCTTTCTACCAAATGAGGCAGCTTGTGGTCTGATTCACCTGCAGATATGAACCATGCTCAGAAGTTTCGTAATAACTTCTCCGTCTCTGTCCTTTTTCCCTATGAGTTCACCATAATTTAGGAGTACATTGACACTGTCACCAGTACTAGTTATAGTAGGAAAGTCTAGGTTTTTTGACCACCCTTAGAATAGGGGAGTTGCACATTCCAGCTTGAACTAATCAAGGTGAAATTGAACTCATCGTGTTTAAAATTCACGATGATTTAGATGAAACTTTACTCTTACAACCTGCTTACAACTGAAGGCTTAGCAGATGTATTCATACAACATGGTAAACGTGTTCCCATTTATGTTAAACATTTTGTGGCTTATCCTATTGGCTATCTTAGACATCAGTATGTCGTATAAATTCAGAAGGTTAAGCTAATTTCCGAAATCAGGATAAATGTGTTTATTTATAATAGTTCAATTTCCATCGACTTCCATGCATTTAAATACCCCTTTGTCAAACATTTAAAGAATTTAAAAACCTTGCAAACACCAGATAGGGTTTAGAGTAAGAAGACACTGTACTAAGAATCCTTCTTGCAATACTTTTTTTTTAAAAAAAGAAAGCTATATTTAATCCTCTATTTGTGTATGTGTGTGTTGCTTGGGCCTTGTTTGTATTTTGAGTTTGTGATATACAGGGTTACAAGCATGCCTTTATATGCATGTACATTAAATGTGAATAAGCCATAAATTTTTATTTTCAACCGTTCATCATCCCGGATGGTATATGTTTTTTCATTGTGTTGCTGAATGCAGTAAATATGCTCAAGGATTTTCTTTCTTTCTTTCTTTTTTTAAATCCCTGCCTGTAGCCTTTTTCTAAAATCTGAATACCCTAGCATTTATTTATAGGTCTTATTTTTCCAGCTTTTTGCAATCTGTCTTCGGAGCAGCGTGGGGATGTCAAAAATATGAAAGCTTAATTGAATGAGATGTGACTTAAAAACAGATTAAGCAGCAGCAAAAATGATGACTTTGCCCATACAGGAATAAAATGGTTAAATAGATCACCCCTATCTCTTCTTCTTTTCTTGACTGGGACAACAGTAAGGGGGGAAATCTTCTCTTCCAATCCAAAATGGATATGAACTTGTTCAGATTGTTTTGAAATTAGAAATATTGTAGAAGTAGAAATGTAGTACCAATAGCAGGGAAGATTTGTAGCTCAGGGTTGAACTATTGGGTCCATGGTCTCCTCTGAGCTTGGTGGTTTTCTTGCAGATGTTTCATTGTGCAATTAAGTAACATCATTTGGACTAGAAAGGAGGAGGAGGAGGAGGAGGAGGAGGAGGAGGAGGAGGAGGAGGACTGTGGCTCCTTGGTGCTCTCTGAACTTGGTGGGTTTTTTGCAGACATTTCATTATGCAATTAGGTAACATCATTAGGACTAGAAGGGAGACAAGTTTGTAGAAAGGAGGAGGAGGAGGAGGAAGAGGAAAGAGGAAGACTGTGGGCTCCTTGGTGCTTTCTGAAGTTGGTGGGTTTCTTGCAGATATTTCATTGCCCAGCTAGGTAACTTCATCAGGTCTATACGGGAGACAAGTTTTTGGAAAGGTGGTGGTGGTGGTGGTGGAGGAGGAGGAGGGGGAGGAGGAGAAGAAGAAGAAGGAAAAGAAGAAGAAGAAGAAGGAGAAGGAGGAGGAGGAGGAGGAGGAGGAGGAGAAGGAGAAGAAGAAGAAGAAGAAGAAGAAGAAGAAGAAGAAG